CTGGGTTGGATTGATTCACTAAGTGATCAATCCGTGGTAGGTCGGATCGGATCGAGCCAGATTAGCATTTTGACAGCTCTGATTAAATGAAAACACTATTTTAGCATGTGATATTAACTTGTTTGGCAAGTTAAAAGGTAGTTCATGTATTCTGGCAGTTCTTATAGCTGAATCACATATAAAAAAAACTTGAAGAAATTGATCAAAGGATAAAAATTATATAAATATAAAACTAAATGTGTTGATCGTTTATTAAAAAACATAAAACTGTGTCTAAGATTTGTTTAAATGGAAAATAGGTATTCCATAGGGATCTATTCTTAGGTTGTATGCTAAGCACACGTAGTTCTAAAGTCAAATCGAGTGCCGTGGGATGTTTTTTAATTACANTTATTATTGGTCTAATTTATAGTTCAATACACCTATTTTAACTTATATACTTAAAAAAAAGTAATCCTCATATATACTATTTTTTTAATATCTCTGAGTTCAAACAGTATGAACTAAAATTTAAAATTATTTGTATAAAAATTAAAGTAAATTAAAATAGTATGTAGATGGAACAAAATCATTTTTTCCACATACAAATTTAAAGCATGCGCTTGGACTAGAAAACATTAAATATTGTCAAAAAGTTATTATGTGAGCTGACCAAATAGAATAAGAACAATTTTTTTAAAAAATGTTTGTTCTTTGACATGTATTGGGTCATTTTATGACTTTTATTTTACCAAAAATAAAGTGTTCGTATTTTCATTTTATATCAAAATCTAAAATGAAAGAAGCCATTATACTAAATTGCAAGTGCATGCAAAGTATAATGATGAAGATGAGTTGAGATATGTAGTTTATAAGAATGAGTATTTAACTTATTAAAATTGATATACATTAATGTGTAAGCATAAAGAAGTTTTTAATGTAAGTATTACAATTTTTTACAATGAGATAGTGAAATATTTTAAAATTTATAAATCACCTTGTCTCATGCATATTAATATCTATATAATAAAATTAATATTTATTATATATTGATTTTTTTTCATATAAGAAACTATTAACCTATTTAACCGTTGAAAAAAAATTGTTATAAGTGGGCAAACTATTTATTACATATTAAAAATTATTAGTTTCTATATTTTGAATTTATAATTTATTAATGTGTGGTTAAAATTTTAATATTTATTATTGTAGTGGAATTTTTTAATTGACTTAGGTGACACGAATATATATTTAGAATCATTGTCGAATTTTTATAAATTTTGCTATTTACAAAAGAATACACCTAAAATTCAACTTGCTTAAGAAAACATCATACTTTAAATAGGCAGCTAAAATTAATATAAAAAAGGTATCATATTCAGCATCGAATATTTTATACTTTATACTAAGTTTTGAATATTTTTTAATTCAATTTTTATTAAAAAAACAATTTATTGAGTATTTTAATTTTTTTAATATTTTTAAATTAAACTTTTACTTGTTTAATTTTTTTAATTGATTGATGGTTGTTATTTTTTCTAATGATTTGGATTTCTTTTTCTATGATTTTTATATCATCACTTACAATGATTAAAAGATTATTTTTGTCACGATTATTATTGATTCCTACCGTTTTTATTATTCAATAAACCTTTTTATAAAAGCAATACAAGTTATTAGTCATTTAATGATAACAACAACATCATTTTTATATTAATGATAAAATCTTATATTTATAAAAATAAGTAAACAAGATTGTAGAAAGATATCAGAGGAAAAAAAATTGAAATGGGAGTTCAATTAAAAATACCGAAATGTATGAACTTAGAAGTTAATCATGTTTTATATTAATTAGTTTTTTTTACTTTGTCTAAATAAAAAATCGATTTTGATTAACTAAATGTTACTGATACCCACCATTAACGTATAGAAAAATCACATTCCAAAGATAATGATCAAAGACGAAGAGACGACGAGCAAGTGGGTTTTCTAACTCTAAATCATTTATCTAAACTTTATATGGCACATAAATTATTCAAAAAGAAATTTATAACGAAAATGATTTCTGTATATATTCAAGTTGACTAGCAAATTGAACTTTATCATAATATTTTTCTCGAAAAAAAGTAAAGATTGGTCATCTTCTACACGCACTTGTGCTTGTACTTTCACATAGAACCACTTTAATTTCATAATATCAATTCGACATCTTTAACACTGTCAACTGTTGAAATGGTCAACCAAAACAAATAATTACAATTGCTTCATTAAGGAAAGAAAAAGTCTTATCATCCTATTGACACATGATGTCTGTCTACATTACCATATATAACACAAAATAAATAAAAAAAAATTCATATTCTCTTTCATAGAAATTGTTTGAGTTGGATTATTTTTAGCTTAAATTGATGGATAGAGAAGGAGAAAACTTTTGTAAATGCTTGCAAGTAATAGATCGTGAACTGGACTCCAAACTCTAATGGTATTGGAATATGTTATATGCCAAAAAATGTCAACACCTCTTGCAGTATATCGTAAGAATTTCTTTCAATTGCATTGATTTTAAAACTCTTTGTAGTAGACAGTTATAAAATGTGCCAAATGATAACTAAATTTAGTACATTCCATAAATATATAGTGTATATATATATATATTGTCAATGTATTATACAAATATAAAATATATTTGTACACAAATTAAAATCGACTATTTCTATTTAATATTTTTTTTCATATATTAAAATTTAAGTGTGATTTTAAGTCTAATGTGAAATAGAAAAACGAAAATTAAACAATTGTAAGGAATAAATTCTATAAATTTAAAAAAAAAATTAAGTTGGAGATGATATTGATTTGATTTGGATTCCTAGCTTATTGATGTGTTGAAATTTTTTGAATCCCTTTTATAACATGACTATTAATTGTTATGAAAAAAAACAAGTTATCAAAAAGATAAGACAGATAAAGAGATGTAAAAGTTAAAAAGTTCTTCTTCCATATACTTTTCCGTGAGAAAACTTATATTTAATTATATCATTTTAATTGGTATATCTATTTTCATGAATATTATTTTATTTAAATTAGCTTTAATTTTCCTATATATGGTGAATGGTCATACTATTCATCTAAACAACAATTGAAATAATGTAGAACTTATTAAAATAAGATAAGTATTGTTTGAAGCCAAGAAAACAAGTTTCCATGCCTTAACATTATCTTGTAATTTAGTTAAGCAAAGAAGCAAAATCAAAGTGAGACACTAATGTCGATGGAAGGAGTTATTTGAAATTATTGTTGAGTGAAAAAAACAAAATACGTGTTTGGATTTACTGCATGAAGCAGCCCACGTGTAATGAAAATGAAAAGGCTAAGTTTCCATAGCCAAAAATGGAGATGCATGCATTGAAAGAGAGAGTTTAAGTTACTTCTAATGGTGGTAACCAATAATAGTAAGGATCGTACCATTCCCCATGCATTCATTCAAATTACTGTCGTAAAATAACTTCGTGTCAGTCAAAAGCCAGCAATGTTTGAAACCATTAAGATTTTCTTAACTTTGGAAATAACCATGTTTTTGTTTTAAATAATCCACGTGAATCTAATTAATCTCGTGTTGATTACGAGGTTTTATCTTTTACTTTTACCGTTGAACAAATTATGTTTTGGCTTCATAGTAATAATATATATATTAAATTACAGTTACAGTATAGAACAATGCCTTTAGCATCAATAAAGATATTCATAGCTCCTCCCATTAGTTATAATTTTCAAATCATATGAGAAATTTATGTTTAGAAAACAAAGGAAGGTGTTTTATTATAATTGGCTCTTTTAAGGAACATGTCACTCCCACATCTTCATTTTTTTTATTATTTTTTTACTTTATGGTTGAAGGTTATCAGTGTGTTTTACTTGGTCACTTTCTTAAATTTTTCTTCATCAACAGCATGTAAATGTTGGAAACGCGAAGAACTAAGAACTGAAGAGGATTTTTTTATATATATATAACAAATTTGAATAAACGATTTTATTTCAGAATATAAGATTGAGATCAACTTTCTCGAACAATATCTTAATCTAAGATGTTCAAACCCATTCTTCACCTTCTTATTCAAAATCTTTTATCTGTCTAACATCATTTGAAAAGTGTCTTCGAAAGATTTTTCGATGTCAAAGTTAATTCGAATTTAGTCATTTAGATATTTAATGTGATTATTTATTTATTTATCTTAAATATGTATTTATAAATTTTAGAGTGAATCTGTTATTAGTGTCGACCTAATTATGATAAATTTAGTAATAATTACATTTTGTTCTAATTTGATTAATATTAAAAGTAATGTCCTTATAGATTATTATTCAAACCACACACATGTTCATGTTTATCGTGTGATCGACAAATTGTCCTATTTGAAATTATTCACACAATCATACAATACAGTTATTATTAAAAAAGAAAAAAAAGTGAAATATGTACGGTAAAATAATAAAGTATATATGAAAAAAAGTTATGCATATATAATGTAGTGTTAAGTTGAATTTAATATTTTACAAAATGAATTTTGTATCATAAATATTGAGAGTGTTACTCTCCATGCCTCTAACATCTCTTTATTAATATGTTCCGTTAAACGGACGAAAGATGGTTACAAGATAAAAGTAATAATTTTTCACTGTTCCTACGTAATTAATTAGGATGAAGAATTCATAGTTGATAATAGAATATATATCTTTTTGTCTAATAATAATGATTGCAATTATAGTTACTTTGAAGAAGACCTTACTTATTTACTGTTTTTCTATTTAAGGGTTACTTAGAATCAATAACAGTGAAAAATAAATGCTGTATCAGAAACATATTGATATTTTTACTAACACAATATTTTGCGTTAATATTGTAGTGACATGAAATTAAGTTTTAAGAATGTAGGAAATGAAAATGCAAAAGGGAAGCAAAGAGATTATCATAAGATGGAGAAAGAGAAAGGATTTTGGAACAGTTAAGGTTTTGGCTTTTTGTGTTGTTTTTTTCAACCCCACACAGGAACTTGGACTCCTTATAAAACACCTTCAACCATCTCCAAACCCCCCAAACACTCTCAATCCACTTTTCTTCATTCCCCTTTCACTTTCTCTCTTCCCACAACTCCAATTCTAGTTTCGGGATTCCAACACATGGACAACCAACGCAGTCCTCTTCTCAGTTGGGCTTACTACTGCCACGGAAAGGTAAAGCCTTGATTTTTATTTATTTATTTTTTTGTTTCTTTCGGGTGGAAAAAAAGGGTAGACTAATTCGTGACCTTATTGCATAACTGTGATGAGACAGTCAGTGGAGGAGCTCAAGCAGTCGCTGATGTGCACGACTCTTGAGCTGGAACAGACGAGAGCGAGTGTGCAAGAGGAGCTGAGGAAGAGGGACGATCAGCTTCAAACCCTGAAGGAGCTTCTGAACAAGGTGATGAGAGAGAGAGACGAGGCACAAGAGAAATGGCAAAGACTGGTGGTGGAGAAAATGGTTTTCCAGCAGCAAAAGCAGCAGCAGCAGCATCAGCAAACGGCCCCTGCTTCTGGGATTTCGAGCATTGAGGATGAGCCCAGGAGAGGGATTGACTCCAACAATGGGCTGTCGTCATCGGATTGTGAAGAAAGCATTGTTTCCTCTCCGATCATGGAGCATTTGGGTGGTGGGCAGGCACAGTTGCCAGAGTCAATGATTGAGCTTATATCACCAGATAAACCGTTGCCAGAAAAAGGTAAGCTTTTGCAGGCAGTGATGAAAGCAGGTCCCCTGCTTCAGACTCTGCTTCTCGCGGGACCACTCCCTCAATGGAGACACCCTCCACCCGCTCTTGAGTCCTTCGAGATTCCTCCTGTCACCATTCCTTCCCCGCAGGCACAGCAACAGGCGCAAACACAAGCGCAAGCACAATTCCTCCACCAAGACTCCTTCACCTCCAACTGCGGGAGAGTGAGTAGGAAAAGGGTTTTCTGTGAGGGCTCTGATTCTCCCACGCAGACCAAGTTCCAAAGGATTGTACTTCACTGACCAGTACTACAACTGTTACTGTTATCCAGTCAGTTGTATTTATCCTTTTTAGTTTTAATTTATTCGATTCGACTGATCTAGCGTATGTACAGTGGTTTGTTTTAACTCGGTGGGAGGAAAAGAGCTGAAGGAAAAAAAAAAGGTTTGATTTTGGGTTTCTGGTGATATTGGATGAATGATTTGTCCTTGACTGGCATTTTTGCCCTTTTCACATTCTCCTTTTGTTTTGTGTGAGGTGAAAGGGTGTCTGAAATTGTAATGTAACTAGGATAATGTAGTGCAGGAAGTGATGAGTGTGTGAGTGTGGGAGAGAGAGAGAAGGGTTGATGTGTAAGATCACATCAACAATTAAAGGGACGGGTGATTGGTTGTGTAGTCGTTGGGGTTGGGAGATAGTGTGGCCAACCACCAAGGGGGACGGCCATGAGCTCTGCGTGTAGGGTTTGGTGGACCCACAAATCAGAATCAGGATCTATTACTGGTGTGGTGTATGATTATATTAAGCTTTTTTAGACAAGTTATCATTATTCACTTCTAATCCTATTTCCTCTCTTTTTCTAACACTAATTCCCTTAACTAAAGCTAACCCTCCTTTGCTTCTGTCATATGTAAATCTATACCAGTATCAATCAATCTCAATCTCTATATCATTCCATAAGAGCGCGCCAAATATTTCTTCCTTTCAAAGAGGCACAATAGTAGTTCACTTTGACCAATTCTATGTATGATGCTCCATGAAAGCATGGTAACCAAAGGGAAAATCATCCACTCTACAAATAAATGTTAAATCATTATGTACCTCAATTTTCAACAAAAGGTTGTTTCCGATCTATGATATCACCTTATAATTCAGGGTGTGCCATCTCTGTTCCAGTGGGATTATTTTAGAAATCCTTTTAGTTATCAAACTATGAATAATTGGGACGAATTTTGAAGATATGATGATCCAATAGAAGGATGTCAGCGTCAAATTCCATACTAAGTGTAGCCATGTTCTACAACAGTGTGAAGGTCAGGTCAAGGGAAATCACATGGACAGTCTTCTTCAAAGCAGACAGGTAGAATGCAGAGGCTGCAAGAATTTGGCTAAAAGTGTTGCGTACTTCACGTATTTTTCAAACGTAAACTTTATCCAGCACTTGTCACTGTTCAAGAAGCTAATGTTTTGTGGCATTTTAACCAGGATTATTTACTGTATATCTCTCTTCTTTTGCGCGGTTAGCGCCAGCTATAGAAAGTTAGTTTCTTAATCGAGAAATTAAAATAGAAACGACGTTGTTTTCATCCAGCTAGCTGTGTAATTAATTAAACTTTACATCAATATATCCTTGCCGGTGAGGGCAACAAGGAAGTCCTAGAAAACACGCTAAGCCTCTTCCGAACGGTGAACACAGGCTGCGCAAATGACGCGACTCGTGCCTTAAAAGACAAGAGAGGTTGAAGCTTCGGTCAACATTAGGCCGAATAAGCCAAATTAGAACAATCTCAAAGACGGTTTTAACCAAATAAAGCCCAGGCCCATAGTTATACGTCGGGCCGACAAGAAACCCCGTCTATGTTCAAAGAACAAATGAAAATTCAAAGATTGAAGACATTTCCAGTCTGCATCCAAAGGAGGGTAAAAAAAAGACAAAGAAATGTAAGAAACGAAAGAGTTTGGACCAATGGCAGAACCTTAAACTGGGATCGAAGTGAAAAGGGTTTAGGGTCTTACTCCACAGAACACGGATGACTTGGAAGATGAACTCTTGTTCTAAACATTAGGCATATCTCACTTACATCCTTCGAGCAATCATTGAACCCAGTCCTTTTCTCTAATAAACTCCACGACGGAAATAATATTTAATCTTATCTTCTGAGTCAGGTTCATGCAATTAGAATTAGATTTTTCAAAACAGTCATGTACAGTTAAAAAGAAAGTTCAATACAACAGTTTTACAATTGAAAACGGAAAGATAAAGCTCCACAAGACGTGCCATGCTAAATCTTATGACACATGGACTAATATTGAGAACTGTTTCCGTCAATGCTAACCGCCTAAACTACAGCATCATGTTACAAGAACAAAACAGAATTGTAGACAGGAATTAACATGGTTTAAGCGCAAATGTCTACTTTTGGGGCCCTCCATGAGCTTCTTCTACGTTGTACATCGAATTTTCAAATAATGTTAAACGTGCAGTCATGCTCTCTGACCTAAGCTTAGGCAAAATTTCGCATATACACATCTTTCTCTCATGCGATCATCAGCCATATACAACTTACATTTTATATTTCAGCAGGAAAAAGAGGAAAAATTTTCCGCTCAATAATCTTCTTCATCTTCGTCATCTTGTTTATTCGCTTGATTGTGTTTTTGAGCTTTATACAACTCAGCAATCTGCAAAGCAATCGAAACAAGACCAAAAATAATCAATTTGAGTTCCCATTACTATTTTTTCAATCTTCTATCATTGTTGGTCAGATAAAATAGATTGCACTTTACCTGCTCAGATGATGTGGCCTGTTCAGGAGCTTTGTCATGCCGGACTCGAACCAGCCTTGGAAATCGAAGAGAGATGCCCTTCAAAAAAAATAAATGCCAACCAAAAAAATTAAATACAGCTATTATCAATAATTAAACAATGTTACACATCAATTCATTCTATTACCCTGTTCGGATCTACTATGCCCGCTGCAGCACGGTGGACAGGGCTAATGGTCAGGTCTGCCGCTCTCACCTCCCACACCTGGATGAAATTAGGTAACATACAACTAATGCATAAAAAGATTGCTAGAAAGAGCATAATACGATTTTATTGGATAAAAATATACAATTAAAAATAAGGCACTGGAAAAATCGTTTCAACTCCAGTGGCATGATTTTTTTAGGGAACCAAAAAAGATGAAATTAGTGTAGATTGTTGGTGAGTGAAACCAGTTTGAAAAAAATGGAACATACTAACATTTTTCACTTACTTTCACTCGTCTTTCTATTTCTCTTCAACCAATCATCTTCAACTTTCTATTTTATTTCTTATATATTTCTACTTTCCTATTTTATTTTCATCAAACGTGTTTCGTTCTTCTCTACCAAATACAACATACGAGCTTTCACCGTTTATTTAAAACTAGAATTGCCATATGCCCATTATCCTTCCCACTATTATTAGTAATGCTTTGCCAACTGCGCTCATTATTCTAGAAAGTAATGTCAAGAACAAGGTTGCATATAATCCCTACTCGATCACATTGGGAGATCATTCAGCCACATTCGAGTGGCATCAAACTATGATAGTATTCCCAACAGTATGAATGTTCTTCCATGTATTCCATTGAAGTACTGGGAAATTTAAAACAAGGACACAGTAATACCAGTAAGAGATAAGATGACTCTATAATGATGGTAGGCTACAGCACAATTGGAAAAGACAATAATAGTGAAATCGCCAAGAAAAGTCAGGATAACTCTCACCTCACTGGCTTCAAACCAGACATCAGGATTGAGTGTTTCCCCAAATCTATAGTATGACTGAAATCAAAGAGCGGTTTAAAGTAATTTCAAAAACATCAAGCATGACTAGAAAAGGGTAAGAGTGAAAGAAGAGGCTGGGACCTTCGGCTTGGAAATCACTTGAGAGCGAAGACTGGAAGAACGTTCTACAAGTACAGATTCAGAGAAACCCGTTCCTGCCCACCATAACAAGAAGATTAAGAGAAAGAATCTTAACGAATGAACTCGGCAGTGACTACAAAATTAAAATAATACTAACCAATCTTGCAAATAGTTTGAAATTCTTCATTATTGTTGTCATAGCAAGCAAGGAGGAAGGCACCATAGACTCCTACAAGACATGGCACTATTTCATTCAAACCTCTCTAAGCTGAGGGTTTACAATAGCAGTGTATCTAAATCCCAAAGACATAGCCTTCTTCATACACGCTGTTAAAAAAGACGAGTAACATAAGCCACATCACACTATAGAGTATACTCATGATCACCTGTACGTTTTCCACGCCCATGGAAAGCAGCAATAGGTACCAAGTCTACAGAGTCCCCTAAACTGTAAACTAGAACTGATGAGTAAACAGAAATTCATAATAAAGAATTAAGAAATATGAACGTCAGAACACACATCCTTACTTGTCCATATAATCTTTCTTCAGTTTTAGCCAGTTGAGTGATCGCTTGGCAGGTTCATATGTAGCGTCCTCATTTAGTGTCTTAATAATCAATCCCTCACAACTACGAATCAAGAGACACCGAATATTAATGACAAATTCTCATTCAAATTATAGTAAGAAAAACAAATTTTAAACATCTGATTGCTGAACAATAAATAATCAAGAGTCAGTTTGTTTTGCCAGTTTGTCCTGATAACTAAATAAAGCACATTCAGAAAAATCCTTGTCTAACGTATCATTAAAGTTCAAGCTGATTGAATGGAAAAACAAACAGACTAATTAGTCCAATCTTCGTATTCCTCTCAAATACTAATAGTAAATCTCATTAGCATAAGTTGCAGAGTATCATACATTATGCTGAAATAATGCATTATTTTAAATTCAAAACTATCTAGAAGAAAACGTGCACCTAGCACCAACAGCTTGGTCAAGAAAATTCTGTATCTCCTCAACATCATTTGAAGTTAATGCTGTTGCAAACTGGAGAAAACCAGATTCTTCCTCAAAAGAGGCATATAAATGCTGCAGAGAGAAAACAGATACCCATCAATAAGTAGCTCTTATTTGTATAGAAGGCCATGATTTATTGAATAAATTCAATGAGTAAATAACATTAAATTAACATTGTGAAAGAAATCAATTAGTTTCCCTACCTGTTAGGACTTAAGCAAGAGAACCCAACCTAAAAGACTAGTCCTTTAGGTGGAAGAGTCTCAATGCTCAAGTATTGTTAAAATTATGATTGTTACTGTATTGTACAGTTTTCATAAAGCTGTAATTTGGGTGTCCTAGCCTAAGGGTTTACTGTTATAGAATATATATATATATATATATATATATATATATATATATATATATTTAAACAACTATGTTATAATTTTTCCATATGGATTAAGAAACTATACTAATAATTAGCCTTCCTATTTTGAGTCTGACAATGAAGAAAGTAAGTAATATATTTCATATTAAATGGGATTATTTGAGATAGACATAACTAGAAGGGTTTCTTCAATAATATTTTGCCATGTCCAT